GCTCGCGGTGTACGTGCCGCTCGGCGTGGGGGACGGCGTCGATACGTTGGTGGGCGTCGGCACCGGCAGCTCACCCGCTACGGGCACCACCGCCTCGTCCTCTGTCGCCTCCACGTGGGGCTCCGCTGACACAGGAGGGCCGCCCCGAGTGGCACTGCTCACATCCGTGCCGACATCGCCGACCATCATGGACGTCGCTAGCGTTGTGGTTGCTGCCACTGCTGCAGCTTCCAGTTGTTGGTGCTGTTGAAGTTGCTGTGGTAGTGGGGATTTAGCTTCTGTGACGATGATGGTGGTGCGTGGCTTCGCATGTGCATCCGTAAAGGACGGCACCGCCAGCGGTGCGGCTGCGCTGCCACCCGTGCACCACACCTCGCTCTTCGCATACACCCCCAGCGGCGTCGTGACGGACGGGGGGTACTGACTGTCCTCGCGCTCCCCAATGTCATTGTTGTTGTTCCTGTTGTTATTCCTGCCGTTGTCCTCCTCCCACAGGCTGCTGGTGGCGGCCCAGTCAGTGAGGGGCGAGTGCAACGGGAACTGCGGCGTGCGCACCTGGCCGGGCAGCAGGCTGCTCTGCCGGTCGCCCAGATCCGCCGACAGCGGGTGGGTGCAGATGTGCGGCAGCACTCTCGACTTCATGCACGCCCACACACGCTCCCTCGATCACTTGCTTGATTGACGGCCTCTCGCCACTTCTGCGGCCGGGCCTAAAAACAAAAGACAAATACACACACACACACACACACACACACTCAAGCGAAAGGGACAACCCAAACAACACGCCTTCGAAATGAGTCGATGCGTGCGTGGGTGTTTCTTTTCGTGTGAGAGAGAGTACAGTGAGTGCTGCGCACACCGCCAAGAAAAACAGCAATTGTTTTTATTCCCTTTTAATCGTGCGCTTGCTTCCTTTCCTGCAGCAGAGAGCATAGAGTGGCGGGAGAGGAGAGCACACCATAGCACCGCTGCTGCTGCTCACTGAAGTACGCAGAGGCAGTGAGAGGGAAATTGGCCGCACACACACACACACACACACACACACACACACACACACCGCGTGCCTTTTTCGTCCCGCCTTTACTCGCCAGTTAAAGCCAGTGAGCACCCCACCAGAACACACACACACACAAAGTGGCAGATGCGCACAGCTCATTCTGTTGCTTAACAAACTATGAGGAGGACTTTGCATTTCCTTTTCCCATTCTTAATAACGGCAGAAATAAAACGGCATCCTCCTCATCCGAATACACCCCCGCACACACAGACACACAAGCAGACATATGCGTGCTTCACACCTCACAGCAGCAGTACGTCCGTCGTCGTGACTCGCCCCTGGCAGTTCGCACTGCAGATGTACGTCAGCGTCAGCGCCGCACCCTCGGCGGGGTGCCTCACACGCCACGCGATGACACCGCCGGCCGCGTCCACAGAGAACACGGCGCCCTCCACGCAGTGCAGCGCCTTCACGCGCGTTGTGTGCC